TGCCCTCCTCTACCCCTCCCCACCCCCACTCCCCCACGGGGTCCCCGAAGGGGCGCTGGTCTCTGCCGGGCTGCTGCTGGGCTGGGCTCCGGAAGTTGCCAGGGAAGGGCCTGTCCTGTCTCCAGGCGCCCACGGTCAGAGTGCACTCGGGCTTCCCCGGGCAGCGTGCAGACACTGTGGAGCCACGAACCCTGCTCCCTCTCCAGCCTGCTCTTGGCCCACCGAGAGCGGCGAAGGGAAGCGTTCTTTCCCGGGCTACTTCCAGGAACTAGGGACCCCACTCTGCAGGGTGGCTGCCGGGGCCGCTGGGCCAGGAGACCCCAGTGGTGAAGGTCCGGGTCCGTGGGATTACAAAGCACCTGGTCTCATTACACAGCACCTGGTCTCATTACACAGCACCTGGTCTCAGCACACCAGCCCGCGGTGCTGACTGCCCAGGCCTCGCCTTACCCGTCTGTAAAATGGGGATAATAGTAGTATCCCCCTCAACGAGTTATGAGGACTAAATGGGAAAATGCACCAGCACTGGCCTCCCAGACACCTGCTGCCTCCCTGGCCTTTGACACGCGGTAGAGCACCGTCTGCTGGCTCAGTGAGTCGGTGGCTGCTGTGTGCAAGGCACCTGCGAGGCGCTGTCTTAGAAACACGGAAGACCTCTGAGACATGGGCCTGTGAGCTTTTAGGATCCATTTTGATGCACAGTAGGTCCTCGGTTACGTCTGCGATCCGATCCCCTTAGACTTTTCCTTATCTAATAATGGGCATTTGCTGTGCCTAATCAATGTTACTGGTTTGTTATTGTTACTTTTGTTCCTGGTATGTAAGTGCTATACTAGATGCAGAAAAACAAAACTTGACAAACAGCAGAAAGACTCCGATCCTGGTGGCTCAGAAATTGGAAATGACCCAGAATACTTTTTAACAAGGACATACAGGATCTGACTGCCTCCCATTTACCTGCCCTTTTTGAATAGTAATACATTAGGTCCTCGGGTTACGTCCGAGATCCGTTCCTAGGGCGAGACGTAATGTGATTTTCACCGTAAGTCGGAACCCACCTACGTAAGCACTTACGTCACTCACATGGAGCACAGACACAGCAGTAATGAAGTGAAACAGCAAAAAAAATTTAAAAGAAAGATAGCAATTCCTGACCTTTACTTGTGGTAAATAAATAATAAAAAGCATAAAGCATATATGTACATACATCGAAATGACGGAGCTTTTTTTTAATAAATAAATGGGAGATGGTGACGTAACGACGAACATACATCAAGTCCGACGTAACCGAGGACTGCCTGTATATGAAATCAAATCTCAAAGGTTTACCAACAGAGTCATGGAAACAGGAAGGTCTTCAAACCCAGAGTGGTCAAGGAAGGTCTGCCTGGGGAGAAATACGGCGTTTGATGAGACGTTTAAAGAGAGGGAGCATTGTTTGCTGGTTTCTGTAAATGCCTGTATTTACCATCCTGGAAAAAGCATTCCATAACGATCGGAGGAATACCGAGTGCATTTAAGTAGATGTGTGGCTTGAAAAAAGTAATTAGAAAATTGGAAAGTAGAGTTTATCTGTCTTAGGACCAGGTTCTTCAGTGATACAAAGCGGATCCTATTAAACCTCTCCTTAGACCAGTGATGGTGAACCTTTCGAGCTCGGCGTGTCAGCATTTTGAAAAGCCCTAACTTAACTCTGGTGCCGTGTCACATAGAGAAATATTTTGATATTTGCAACCATAGTAAAACAAAGACTTATATTTTTGATATTTATTTTATATATTTAAATGCCATTTAACAAAGAAAAATCAACCAAAAAAATGAGTTCGCGTGTCATAGGTTCGCCATCACTGCCTTAGACCCTGGTCACCTGTCATGTGTGGATGAATGTTGGAAATTCCAGAGGAGTTAGGAGAAATGTCGATAGAACCGTTGTTCATTATTCGTTCTCTGCTGTAGTTTCGAAGTTCCTGGAATGACTTCGTACGTACAGAAATGTATTTGGAATGCTCCTCGACTGACGCCCGTGCCTTTGCGTGTTTCAGGTCTACGGGTGCGCCTGCAGGTCCAAGCGCTGCCTCCGGCAGTAACCGCAGACTTCAGCAGACACAGAACCAAGTGGATGAGGTACTGCTCTGAAAAGCTGAAAAGATGAATTTTCAGTCAACATGGGAACACTCTGGAAATAATTATTCAGGAAGAGTGGCACAGAGGGTGAACGTAAAGTACATTCTGACCGTATCATAAAAGTAACAGCTTCGCCCCTGCTATTCTGGGAGCCGCGATCTAAGCGAAGCCAGATTCTCCTGCTTCCTGCTTGTTTTCCTGAAACAAGCGCCCCTCCCTGAGGGCATTCCTCCCAGAACTGCCTTAGAATGTATATTTTCCACACACACAAAAAATGGAAAAAAGAGAACTACTTTATAAAATAGGGTAATCGAATATTCAGAATTAGGTCTATAGGTTGTTCAAGCCAAGACCAACCCTTCTGATCAGATTTTCATCAAAACGCTGTTCCAATAGCCTGACTTTCTATTACTCAGCCTGAGCAGGCTTCTAGCATCAACTCCAGTTGGTGCCATTGACATGCAGAAGGCAGATGCTGGCACAGTGCTCTAGCCCCACAAATCTGCGTTTGTGGAATTCTTGAGTTAGAGGGTGCTCACAGCATCTTCGTTCTGCCCTATGTTTGCAGACCCACAACGGATTCTTGAGTTAGAGGGTGCTCACAGCATCTTCTGCCCTATGTTTGCAGACCCACAACAGAAGATTGGCAAATTCAAACTACTATTTCCCTGTCCCTAAAAGCCATCATTGTCCAACAAGGATATGTTGGCCTTTCTGCATGTAGCTGCCTTAGAAAGCAGCGTTCAACTTCTGTTAAACCAGGGGCACATACTAGTACATGGTGATGGAAGATGTGGTGGGCATGCAGTGCAACATACAGATCATGTATCCTAGAAATGTACACTGGAAATTTACATGATCTTATTAACCAGTTCACCCCAATAAATGTAAGAAAAATATAAAAGTAAAACTTCTGTTAAACTATGTTTAACAGTGGATTGCTAAAGCATATGGTAATATTTTTATACGATGGCTTTATGAACTTCTGAAAATTTTGTATTTTCATGCTAAGAAACCCATTCTCATTCCACCTTGCATGAAACTTTTGTTTACTTACAAAATCAAATTGGGTCCCTTTTCTTAACCAAAGGAATTTTAAGGAGAAGTGTTTGTTTCTTTAGTTCAGGTGAAATTCACACAACATAATTAACCATTTGAAAGCGGACAGCTCAGTGGTTCTTTGTTACAGTCACAGTGTTGTGCAACCATTACTTCTGTCTAGTTTCACAATTTTTTGTCATCGCCACAGAACACCTTGTACACATTTAGTATGACTCCCACCCCTCTTTCTGCTGTTCTCTCCCATTCTAACTGGCTTCTGCTGCTATGAATGCTCTCATTCTGGATCTATCACACAAAAGGAATCACGCACTAGGTGGCCTTTTGTGTTTGGTTTCTTTTACTTAGTATAATATTTTTGATGCTCATCCAAATTGTAACAAATCCATCGCATGTGTATACCTTGTTTATCCATTCATCGGCTGATGGATTTTTCAGTTCACCTTTTGGCTTTACCAATTCTGCTGCTGTAAACAGTTGCATACAAGTTTCTGTGTGTGCATATGTTTTTATTTCTCTTGGGTATGTATCTAGGAATGGAGTTGCTGGGTCATATGGTAGTTCTGTGTTTAGCTTTGAGGAACCAGCAAACTTTCCCACAGTAGCGGCACCATTTTACATGCACACGAGCCATATCCAAGGATTCCTATTTCTCCACACCTCACCAGCACTTGTTTTCCTGTTTCTGTTGTTATAGACATCCTAGTGAGTATAAAGTAGTATCTCTTTGTGGTTTTGATTTGCACTTCCTTAATGACCAGTGGTGTTGAACTTTTCGTGTGTTTGTTGACCATTTGTATGTATGCTTTGTAGAAATGTCTGTATCAGTCCATTGCCTTTTTATTAAATTTATTGACTTTAGCGAGGAAAGGGAAGGGAGGTAGAGGGAGGGAGAGATACATCAACTTGTCATTCTATCTATCCATGCATCCATTGGTTGTTTCCTGTATGTACCTTGACCGGGGATCAAACCCGCAGCCTTGGCGTATCTGGAACATGCTCTAACCAACTGAGCTACCTAGCCAGGGCCAAGACCACTGACATTTTGACAGAGATTGTGATGACTCTGCACATAAGTACATCATTTGGCAAGTACTGTCATCGTAACAATACTAAGTCTTCCACTCTGTGAACACGGGATGTCTTCGCATTTAATTAGGTCTCCATTTTTTTCCACAGTATTTCGTAGTTTTCAGTGTCCAGGTTTTTGCCTCCTTGGCTCAGTTTATCCATGAGTATTTTATTCTTTTGGATGCTTTTGTGTACAGAATTGTTTTTATTAATTTCCTTTTGATTGTTAGTATATGGAAACACTGATTTATGGATGCTGATATTGTACCCTGAAACTTTACTGCATTTGTTTATTAACCCTAGTGGGGATTCTTTGAGATTTTCTACATATGGGATCATCTGTAAATACGGGTCATTTTATTTCTTCTTTTTAATTTGGACGCCTTTTGTTTCTTCTTGCCCAGTTGCTCTGGCCAGAACTTCCAGTCCGATGTCGAACAGCAGGAGAGTGTGGGCATCCTTGTCTTGTTCCCTGCTCTTGGGGGGAAAGCTTTCTGGTTTTGGTTTGTTTGTTTTATCCTTACCCGAAGATACGTTTATTGACTTGAGAGTGAGAAGAAGGGGGAGAGGGAAGGGGGAGAGAGAGAGAGAGACATCGATTGATTGCCTCCCATACATGCCTCGAACAGGATAGAACCAGGACCCTTTTAGTGTCGGGGACAGGATGACACTCCAGTCAACTGAGCCACCGGCCAGGGCAGCTTTTTGCTTTTGCCCATTGAGCATGGATGGTAGTTGCGGGGGTTTTTCCTATAAATACCCTTTATCATGTTAAGGAAGCTCCCTTCTAGTTCTAGTTTAATGTTTATTTCATGGAATGGTGAGGACTGGCCCCCTTTTTAATGAAAGTTTGGCTCAAAATAACAAAGGGCTGACCTTCTGTTCTTCCGTTTCTGTTTGTGTGACGTGGTGGGTCATGTCCCTTCAGGTGGTGGACATCATGAGAGTGAATGTGGACAAGGTGCTGGAAAGAGATCAGAAGCTCTCCGAGCTGGACGACCGCGCGGACGCACTGCAGGCAGGAGCTTCCCAGTTTGAAACAAGTGCTGCCAAGTTGAAGAGAAAATATTGGTGGAAGAACTGCAAGGTAATCCTCTCCAGTTCGTCTTTACGTTCAGTCCCCTCTGCATTCTCGGGGTGGACAGAGCCCACAAATCCTGGGGTGCACGAGTCTTGGCGGTGAGTTTGACTCCCCATGGGAATTTGGGTTGACGCTGAATCTAAACACTGACTGTACCCTTTTCTATCCCCACGACTAGGAGACTGCCACGTTCTGTGGCTGAGCTCGGGAAGCATGTAGACGATAAAAATAAAGTTAAAAAATAAAGAAGCAGCATGTAGGAGTGTCCAAAATCCATCACAGACATTAGCCCTCCCAGCCCCGCCCCCGGCGGAGCCCTGCACACAGGCTGCCGGGAGAGGCGGCGGGGGGAGTGGGAAGAGCTTCCCCGAGGCCGCAGTGCGCTCGCAGAGGAGCCGAGAGCAGCGCTACCCAGGACAGGGCCCCTGCAGGTCTTACGTGACTGTCAGAGACACGCGCGGCCACCAGATCCCTGTGTCCTGCCCTCCCCTGGCTTGGAAGTGACACTTTCCATACGCATGTGCCCGGGAGCCCTCCCGATGTGGGAAACATACACAAACCAGTGCTGCTGAGGGGCCGCAGGCCATTTGAGGAGCTTACGGAAAGCAGGCAAGTAACCTTCCGATCGAACCGAGGGCATCACGTTCAGGCGTTCACAGCGCATTCTCTCAGACCAGTGACCTGACCGCCTTTCCGTGACTGGGGTGACAGGACGCTCTGCCGTCAGGTAATCTTTCTTTGTGGAATGTGACCTGGACGTTTCGTTGCAGATGTGGGCCATAGGCATCAGCGTGGTGGTCATCATCATCATCATCATCATCGGTGAGTTCGGTCTCAGCTCAGCGGGGCTGCTGACTTCACGTCCATGGCAGTTTCGTCCACAGATTCTCGTTCTCTTCAGTAAATGCCTTAAACAGGAGAGTTGTATGATGGAAGTCTGAGGTATTTTATGTAAACATGAATGCTTTGAAACTCGAGAAAATGTATGCATTCCCACTGGCCTACCTGCGTTCTCTCTGGATATATTTCCGTCAGAGATCGCCTTCTGTGAGAAGCAGTGTAGTCTAGCAGTTCACAGCACGGGCCATCATAGCTCCACCGCCATCCAACTGCGTGGCTGTGGCAAGTATTTTAGTGTCTCTGAGCTTGAGTCTCCTCGTTTGTAAATGGGGATAATAAGAGTACCTCCCTCACATGCTGGTTATGAGGCCAAAACTGGTTCATATACAAAAAGTGCTGAGGGTGTTACCTGGCATATGATAATAATAATAGTTACATAAATAAATAAATACACTCTCCCATCGTTACTGTTACCGCTAATGAGACTACCTACAGTTCTGGAACAGCCCGTGGCCATTTTAGCCCCGTGCAAACACACCTGCGAGCCTGCCTCTGGACAGTCTGGTCTGGCCTGGCCCGCCACAACGTGTAGCTGAGCCACGGGGAGAGTGGGCCCGGTGCCCACTCCGCTCTCACGGGGGTGGAGCGCGGGGCTCCTCCTGGATGCGCTGGAAGCCTAATGCGTCTCCTTGCTCTTTCCATCTGCCTGCTCACTAGTGTGGAGTGTGTCCTCATGAAGAACCAGCCAGCCTCCAGCCTGCTGTTCCGGAAACCTCTTCAAGACTTTGACTTAGAGCCTGCTATCTTATCAAGCTTACAAACTGTAATGTGTAAATGATTATTCTCTGCTAGTTAATGTAAAGTTTGATTTTTAGGAAATGTGCCCTTTTTTTAACATGCACTCCAAACCAGAAGTGTGGTCAGCCCAGCCCGCAGTTTGCACAGTGCCTTCACCACTTTACAGGGGCTGATGGGAGACCTCTGGAGCCCGAGAGTGCGTAACCTCGCAGTAGCGTTGTCTAGCGATCGCCTTTAGTTCCAGTTAGGGAACTTCCTTCCAAGTTAGCTGTCCTTGTCACGTGACCTTGTCTTCAGAACCACATTTAAACCTTTGGGTAATCAGATCTCCCGTCTGTGCCTTCCAGAGAGAACACTACTGTCTCCTCAAATCTGTGACAACGACAGGTTGTGCCTTATTTGCTCCTTTTCTGGTTCCTTATGCGAGAACCCTCTACTGTTTATAAGCACTACTGATGCTCTCACTGTTTAAAATAAGATGCTGGTAAAGAATTTTTGTTCTTACATTAGATACGAAGATGTTTACTTTCTTGTTACTGTTTTGTATCATATTTTTAAAATATTTTAATCAGAAATAACCTCTTTAAAACATTTTGATAGAACTATGGCTATGACCAAAGTTCCTATTTTGCCAAAAACTTAAATCCAGTAAAATGCCCTTGAGTCTGCTCCTGACAGATAAATTCCAGAAAGTGACCAATGGAACTCCAGGTGCCCTTCAGAATTCAAGTTGTAATATTGCTTGTGAAGCTTCTACATCCTCAGGCCTTTCTTGCCTTAAAACCCTGCAGGTGTTACAACTCCCCTTCCTAGTCAGCGCGTTGCCTGGGGTTAGAGAAGGTTCCAGCTAGACCCCGAGCATCTCGCACCTGGAGACAGATGGCAGGATACAGCCGGGGGCTCCAGGGTGTCTCTGAGAATTATGTGAGCTACCGTGTTGTAGCCTTCAGGGAAGACCTCCTGTGAACCGGTCAGGAGTTGGCCCAGGCCTCACAGCCTATGGCTTTTTGGAGTTTGTTTCCATTTTGTTCATATTCCCCTTCCTGAGTCTGTCTCCGACATTAGCTGCCAGTTAGCACTGGTCAGGGTGGCTGACTTCTCACAGAGACAGCTGACCGAGACACTCTGTCTTCGCTGTCATAGACGTAGACTGTCTGCACAGGATGCTGCTTTGTCACCTGAGAATTCTGTTGAGACTTTCAGCATCAGGCTGTGCGGCTCAAGGGCGGGCAGTCAGGGATGAATGAAGACAGGCCAGGCGCCCCGAGGGAGGAGCAGAGGTTTACACTCCGCCTGCGTCCGGGGAAGCGCACACGCTAGCCCGGGACTTGCAGAGCAGCCAGGACACAGGTTCCGTTCCTTTGGCGTCTGTCCCCCACGGCCCTGACATGAGTGAGAAACGCCCGCTGTGAGGAGGGAGCCGGCGTCAGTGTAGGGACGTCCGCCCCCTCGGCTCAGGGTCTCTGGCCGCGTCTGACGTGGAAACTGTGGTGCTCTCTCCTTGGCCTTGTGCTCAGCCCCATGTAACCCACCGGCTCCTGCATTAACCCAGGATGCCTCGCTCGTGCCTGCATGTAGCTGGGAACTGCCCACTGTAATGACTTCAATAAAGTGTTTATCAACATCATCTGGTCCTGTGTTGCTTATAGAGGAGGAGCTGTGCCTGGCCAAGTCCTAAAAATGGCGTTCCTTGCTGTGCCCCTGCCTCCCTATCATCCCCTACACGCCAGTCTCTCCCTGAGTTCCCCAACTTCCTGTTACCCAGCGTTCCCCCTCCGCCAGTGAACAGAGCAAACTACCCTCTTGTGCAGAGTACCTTTCAGTATAGGAGACGGGGGGGGGGGGCGGGCCCTGGCTTTCTCATGGACACCGAATCGTCAGCATTTGGCTTCTGAATTCTTAAGTATGTGGTCTTTCAAGGTGCTGTGAGACTGGCCTGCGTGTGGGACAGCAGGCCGCTGCCTGCCTGGACGGGGGGTATCGTTTGGGAGGTGAGGGACACTTCAAACACGTGGTTCCTATTCTGATTCTGCTTCTCTCTCCCCTTGAACATGGTCTCTTACTCAGCAGCCCCTGGGGAGCCATATCATGCGGTGGAAGTAGACTTAGGTTTTCAGTAAAATGTCCGTTTCCATGGCACCCTATTGGGAGAGAAGAGGTGGACTTTCCCCACTGTCTTGGACAGATGAGCACTCCTTTTCTTGTCCGACCTACTATTGTCCTGGAAAAGAATTGTGCCTCTTCTTCACGTCCTTCTTATCATGAAATCTGTAGAACTTAGGTGCCATTTTCAAGATTTTGAAGGAAATCTACCATGTTTGGGCTCCTCTTTCTCTGCCCTCCCTTAAATGTCAGGGTTTCTTGGGGCAGGGTGCTCAGCCAACTTGTCTTTCATTCCACTCACTCTCCGTCATCTATTCCCATGTTTCTGTCATTAACCTACTGATGCCTGGCCAGTTAGACATAGGCCTCCCAACTCAATATGAACCTAACAGCATTAAGTATTTCCCCTGCCTCCCACTCCTCTTCTATCTGTATATATAAAGGCCAAGTGATCGGAACCCTGGGACGACCGCCTGCTTTGACAAGCACTGTGGCCCTGATTGGCCCCCCAGCTGCCTGAGGCCCCTCCCCACCAGCCAGCCTGGCCCCCCATCGGCCCCACCCCACCCCGATCGGGGGCAGGGGCGGGGCCGGCCCGCTGACCTCCTGTGCCCCCCGCCACCCCAGCCCCAATTGGAGTGGGCTGGCTGGACCCCGCCTGTGCACAAATTCATGCACAGGGCCTCCAGTCAATAATAATGTCCACCCAGAGAATGGCTGAGAAATCCAATGGCTACCTGACAACTCTACTTCTCAAACATAACGTGAAAACGTAACTCTCAGTCTTCCCTCTAAGTTTATGTCCCATCACAAATGGCTCTGCTTAAACCAGACTCGGGAGTCACCTTGCTGCTCTCTTCTCATTCCATCCACAGGGCTCTGTGCCCCCAAATGTATCTTCTTGGAATCAAGGCCTCCCAACTTTGAACTATTTCCTGTGCAGCAGTCGGATACAAATCACTGCCTTGCTTAAAACTCGCCCCTTTCCACTACCATTAGAAAGAAATCCAAGTTTCCCTAATGATAAGGCCAACTGTAGTCTGGCCCTTCCTAACTTCTGACCCCAACTGGCACCATCCTCCCCCTCCCTGTTCTCCAGGCAAAGTATCCTGCCTTTCGGTTTCTCACCAGCAAACCTGCTCTATGGCAGGGCCTTCCCCACCCCCTTCACACACCCAGGTTTCAATTTCACCTTCTCAGAGGCCTCCCGATCCCCTGGCTAATGTGCCTCTTGCCGCCTTCACCCCCAGGCCTGTCCTAGTTACACCTTATCCAGTGGTTCTCAACCTTCTGGCCCTTTAAAACAGTTCCTCATGTTGTGACCCCCAACCATAAAATTATTTTTGTTGCTACTTCATAACTGTAATTTTGCTACTCATGAATTGTAATGTAAATATCTGATATGCAGGATGGTCTTAGGCAACCCCTGTGAAAGGGTCATTCGACCACCAAAGGGGTCGCGACCCACAGGTTGAGAACCGCTGCAAGCTTGTTTCATGTTCTGCACAGCACCTGCCACCTCCTGAACTTTATGAAGTTGTTCATATGTTTTATGTCAATAACATGTGGACTCCCTGAGTGGCCACAACGCTCTCCCCGCCCAGGGGCCACACTCATCCCTACCCAGATATGCATTCAATAAATACTTGTATGAATGCAGTCTGACGAAAGAGCTTCAGAGGCGAGTGCGATCTGCCATCATTTGGAAAAATAAGTTGGTTTATCCAACACAGGGCATGAACAACGGGCACACTTCCCTTCCTATGCAATTCCTTTCGTTCACCCGACAAACACTGAAGATTTCTGATGGACAGGCCCTGGCGAGGGTGCAGGTCTGCACGGTGCCCTCCATCTCGGATGAGCTGGTGCACCCTCAGCCTCCGGTACTTTAAACGGGCGTCTCCACGCCCCCCTTTCCCAGAAGCGCGCCCTTTACATGCACCGTCTTCCTCCAAGGCCCCGCCCCCTGCTTCCCCGTCAGCCTGTCGGGATTGGCCAGCCTTCCGCCCAACCGCGTGACGTAAGGCGCTCTGGGGGCCTTCGCCCCCGCCCACTCCCCTCGGGTTACGTAACCTGGGCGCCGCCGTCCGGGCCCCGCCCCTGGAC